TTTAATACCGATGTCGATGGACCTCCAAACTATAAACATTCGTTTCAGCAGCCAATTTTCGGGGACTCCTGCATATTCCGATACGTCAAGCTCCCTGTGTGGAAATCATGAGTTCGGAAACGTGCCACAAATGGAGACATTAAGGAAACCTGACGAGAATTAAGGTAAATGCCTTAGCAGACCAGACATTAAGGCTGCACATTTATAAAGACAGGGTTTAAGATTGCTCATCAGAGAGTTTGGACATAAAACAATACAGCTCAAGAATCTCCTCTCAGAAATGAATGAATTTAAAAAAAAAATTAAATGTTAAGAATAATAATGCATTTTTAAATACAAAAAGAATGTTCTATACTTATCAAAATGGAAAACTTAAATTATGATTGCAATCGTCGCTGAAAAACATGTTGTTTTAAAAAGGTAAAGTTCTCGAGTTAGGAATTGTGCAATGTGAAGCACAAAAACTACTGCACTCTATGAGTCAGTTTTCTGTTTATCATTGCCATGTTCTTAATTTATTCAAGTCAAGATCAAGTATTCTTCTTCACTGCTATTTTTGTAGCAGAAATATGCTCAAAATCATAATATAATAATAGTCATTTTCAGAATGAGTATTAGGGGCACAAAATCAGCTAACAACAATTAGGTTCGATGAAATTCACTGAAACTTTTAAGTTGCACTTCCCAGAAATATTTAGCAAACGTTTCACAAAGTTGTGCAGCTTTAGCTGATAATTTACAGCACTATGAATAACGATTCATTTTTTTGATTTAGCGCTGCATTTAAAGTGATGCAATCACAGAGGTTCTTTCATGTGGTCAGAAGAACGATATATAATTTGCAATAGTTTTCAGCTTGCATTTCGGAGTAGTACTCTATTTGCAGACGTTTGCAGACCCTTTCCCAGTGAGCTACTAAATAAATACTTTCTGTTGACACAAGCATCAAATACGCATTCACTGCCAGCTAGGAGTACTTGCTCATAATTATTAAAATCTCACTTAATTATTGATGTACTCCTGAAACCGACCTGTGTCACTTTAGATTACTATCTTTTTAGAATAATTTATTCAGATTTTTGCAAATATTTGCTTACAAATTCTCATTATTTACTCTCAATACGGCTATATTCATTTGCTATAATTATAATATGTAAATTTCTGCATAAAGGTGTTTTCAGAATTGTAAGAAACAACTACGTTTTAAGGCTTTGTTATTGATTGCGTGCTTAGCAAATGATTCACTCACTGTTCATTGCCGGTTATTGCTTAGGCAAAATGAAGAGTGAACCAGCATTTTGTCAGCAGTTCGTTGCTCAACGTAAACTCATGTATTCTACGCTGCGAAGCGTGTAGTTTTCACCGTTAGCAGTAGTTTAAGAAGTATGCGCCATTATTAGCAAGCAAATGCATGTGTATTTTTGCGTCAAATACTAATATGTAATGATAACACAAACGAAATTTATCATTAATTCATTTTAGCTAGTTTCTTCGAAGCGAATTTAAGATAAAATTTAAAAAATTTTGACAGTAAGTATTGCGTTTTTTAATCCGCCGCACGTTTACACTTTCTCAGTTTCCTTATATTTCCATGTTAATAATAATTCGCATTCGCAACTTTTGAAATATTGCATACATATTTGCTGCTAATTTTTCATCCAAAAATAAATATTGCTAGCTTCAAGGTACAACCTTTTTCAATACATTCTTTATGTTTTTGTTTTCAAAAAATTGTCAAGTATGAAATAATTTTTGGTATAGGGACATTACTGCTGTTACATTATGCATAACTTATGGATCAATATTATATTGAATTGCACAGCATACGAAAATGGTCTCAAAAATTTTTCTAATGCAGTATTAATGATTAGTTTTTATCGTAATCATTGAGTTTTTATAAGATTCATGAAAAAGTAAAGCAAGCGATTACTATCAACTGTTCTATCAACAATTGATTACTATCAATCGTATTACCAATCACTCGTATTGCTGATCCTGATCCTTTGAGAACAATTTCCGTCCACTGTTTCACCTTTATTTTTTAATCTTCAGCGCTTATATTTTATCCTTGATTGTTCATCAGTGAAATGTATGTTTCGTAGGAATTGCTCATGATTTTGCACTAACGAAACGGTTGTATATGGAAAAGTACCAATAAAATGCTAGTAAAAGCAATACTGTTTTGGTAATGAATCTGAGGTATTCGTTCCAAAAATGTCTATGTAGATGCGGTGAAAATATTCTATGATTGCATGTTCCTCATACTGCAAATTACTGCAAAAGAAATGTTCCACAAGTATAAGGTACTCATGCTAAGAAATGTTTATTAAGCTCACTGTCAAACCTAAGTTGGAAATGCTTTCACACACACGCACACACACACGTGCATGCGACTGCACAGTCATTTTCATAGCATACACTCATACATACATATGTAACCGCACAGTCTTCCTTAACACAGACGCACAATTGACGTGCATATATACTCTTATCTGCACACATACAGAAACATTCAAGAAAATGATAAGTACAGACGTAATTGCAGAGATAGACAGCTAGGAGAGTTTTGTCGTATCTGAAATAGCTGCTTGTTACTCATTTGTACATCCCTCTGTTCTGAGCCAATGTACATTCAATTTGTTTGCGAGGCCATCTGTTCTCATTTCATCTACTTGTTTGCAAGCTTGGCCGAAAGATGATCTAGTTTAGTGATGACGTTAATTTAATTATACGTTTATCTCTTTGGCAATAAATGCACTTAAATTATCAAAATGTCAAGCAAAAATGCCAAAATTTGTGTCTCAGTAATAATGATAATAGTAACCATACAGTGCCGAATAATTTTGTCACGCCTTGTGAAGCTAATTTCTATTGTGCTTTTTGTTTTTCCTCTAACACTATTATTATGTTTAATTTCACTATTTATCATCATTTGAAGAATGCAAAATCCAGAATTATGGTTGCAGTAAATTGATTTCACAGATTAAATTTATAAAATAAATTTACTGATTCATATTTGAGAATTACATATTAATGTCTGAAGCATCTAGTACTCGGGCAAATCTAGTAGTCGGGAAAATTGTAAGTCTAAAATTTCATTTACCATTTTAGCAGCGAATTCGGGTATCATTCTCCAACATACTAAGCGTTGGTATTACGATAGTTGCTACTCAGTGAAATATTAGTTGCTACTGTTAGCATTATATTAAAAACCACCAAATTATGGCAGTCAATCCATGCTGCTGTTGGAATATTAAGGAAGGTGCTGTCACTGTTGGCCTTTGGTCATTGGTTAGTTTCTTTTCGGTTTGCATTTTTATCAAAAACATTAGAAAATGAAACAAATAACTTTTAACTGCAGTCGCCATTTTTGAAAAATTCCCACACTCTTTCATACTCACTTCCTTCAAGCAAAATTTTTTGTGATTTTCATTGCAATCGATGCTAATGAACAGCATGAAGTTGCACCACATATTAGCTGCCTCTTTACGCCTATAAATTCGAACTATAAGTCGTTTTCATGGATCTTTCAAGTCAAAAATTTTTTTACAAACTAAGTAAAACAAGTTTGAAGGCGACAGTCATTTATGTACACCATGAAAACAAAACTTTTGAATTTGGCATTATCATTCTTGCAAGTAGCTCTCTGCTCAAATTCTTTTAACGTCAAATATGTGAAAATAAATTAGTTAATCATATTGTTATTATGTCAGAGTAAAGTTTAAGTGAGCTTTGTAATATACATATAATTTTTGCGGGAATATATGTATATAATTTTGGTACAATATTATAATAAAATATATTTCACACCACATCTAATCTTTAAACTGCCTTTTTGTTTTGAAGGTTTATTCTGTGGCATCTTTAGTATTATTCGGCTGGCAAATGAGTGTGATCAGTTCCTGTCAAACTGTAACCATGTCTCAAATCAATTTACAGTGTGAATATTGGTGTCCATGTGTTGGTGCTTCCAATCAGCGTACGAGTGCCTTGATACAGGGTTAGGGCGCCTAATATTCTGTCTTAGAGTTTACGTATTTTGTGAATTTCAGTCAAAGCCAACCATCCATTGATTTAATTTTTTTGACTGATGGTTTTCGATTTCAAAGGCTAGAAATGTTGAAGTAATGAGGTTTTTATGCTGTGATTTCAAAAGTAGCAAATACAATTAATTTCAATAAATTTTAACAAATTCCTAGGAATTCATATTTTAGTGAAGGAATTGCATAGGAAATCATAGGAATAAAATATGAATTCATAGGAATTATTGAAGGTTCCTAAATTGTTTGGTTATTACGATATTACAATATTGGATGTATTTTATTTTTTTATGCTGCGCTGAAAAGCTATTACTCTCATGCTTTGTGAAAAATGAGAGACAGTGAAGGACACAATTTACCATATGTCAAGAAATGGTCACAACTTTTGTATTGAAAGTTTTTGGCTTCAAACAACCTTTAAGCGGACTTAAAGCCAGAGAACTTTCGGTGTAAAAGTGTGAAAACCATCTTCAGCGTTGTAGAGGGTAGAGTATTAAACTTCCTTGCAAAAATCAGTCTATTTCCTGATGTAGAGATTGAAATTAAAATTAAAAAAAATCATGTATAAACAATTCAAATTTTGAAGTACTATTCGCTATTATCCTTTTATGATACAGGTTATTTTTCTAGATTAATCTAGAAAAGATAGGCTGAACCTATATCTTATATAAATTAATTTCTCGACTTCCTACTCATTTAAGAAAATGTAGTATCCTTTATACTACGATAATTTCGTTCGTAGTATTCTAAAATAACCCCAAGTAAGCAAGATTGGTTTATTAAAAAAGACCGGCAGTATTAATTTATTGAGTCTTAGTTCTCTGTTCTCCCAACTTTTGCATGCCTCAGTTGCCAGCCGAGTAGTTTGCCAACTGAAACTAGTGAAAAATGGCTCAAAACTGATTCCGAGATGTTCCAAAGCTTTCTTCCTCATGCTTTTCAATGTTATTTTCATTTTTCTCGAAAATTTAAATCGTCTAAAATAGGTGCAAATTGACAAAAAGTTTTAAATTCAAGTTCGTAAGAAATGAAATATCTTTCAAATCTTTCCATGTATTTTACTTTATTTTCTTACTGAATTTAAATGTGATTCTAGATATACTGCATCACACAGCTGGCGCTATTTAGTTGGCAATCCTCTGAAATCAAATTTTATCATGACTTATCTGCCAATCAGCTCATACCTTTTCTTAGTACTCATCGAGAATACCGAATATCTTCACAGCTCGAAAAATTTTATGCGAATTCGCGAGCTCTTTTTTTTGCTGGTACTAGTTTTGCATTTTTTGTGCATAATCACTGCACGTGTCTTCCCAATCAAAAATCACCGCATTATTTGTGGGAAAATAATGCTCCTAGCAAGTCGTGATCCAATTATATATTTCAGTTATGATGCAGAAAAGTTCAAAAAGTCTAATTCAGCAAATTTGTTTGTCAATAATTCTTCCTGCTTGCCTCTGTTTCTTCAGTTTACATCCCTTAAAATCAGACTAACTTGCACGAAATAAGCTTGCTTATACGCTTATAAATATGAGAAGAAAAATGTCTTAAAGTTTATTAAATTTTTTAGTGCGGAATATTCCAAGTCATAACTAACTTTATATTTCGATTTATGCTTCAATCAGCTCATGCCTTTTCTGAGTACTCGTTTAGATTTTCATACAGAAAATCCAAAATTATAATCTTAAATTTTCTTAGGAGAATCAGTCTAGAAACAAATTTCATTCTGATCCGATGAGATCATGGGCATCAGGACATTCCTTCGCAGACTTTTTGAATAATTAATTTTAAAACAAGCTGAGATCAAATTTTTGATGCAAAATTTTTGCATCAAAATCGCAAATACTCCTTTGCCAGTCGGAAATGCTAACTGCTATGCTTAAATTCAATTTCTTTTTCTGGGAAAAAAATGGCTATGACTTAAAACTGCTGCAGTGGGAATATCCATAAATTAAATCAATAAGTGATTCTTTATATTACTTTTCGCGTTATTGAGCAGGTAATTTCCTAATTTATCCTCGATTTTATTAACTATTCACCCACTTTTGGTACTATTCATATGCAATTTCAAAGTAGCCAATTTGTATGAGATGGATTGATTCAGATTTACTGTATGATACAGTTGGCAATATTCGGCTGGCAAACGGTAGCCATAAAATACGAAAAAGATCATGCTACGGACTCAATTCTACCTAACTACTATGAATATGGTAGATTGGATATTCCTAGTTACTATGAAAGTTATTGGCAAAGTCCTGAAGAACGCTTTTACACTGGTTCGTATAGCTTGAAAAGGCTTCCGCTAAATATTTTATTCACAAGTCCACTAGTGCAATCTTAGCGAAACAAATGTAGATTTAAATTTGCCAAAATCGCAAATTGCCACATAAATATGTAGTCAAAAGTTAGAAGCTAATCAGAAATTTGCATGCTTCAATGAGCAAACAGTACACCCTTTCATGCTGTTGTTAGCTGCAATAGTTCGTTAACACTAAATTTCAACTTTTAAGACTTTTGTATCGACCACTTCTCTACTTGACCCTTTTTGGTTGGAAATGAACAAAGATAGAAGCTTCAGTTCAGTAATAGTTCTGCTTTCCAATGATTACATTTCTTATGCAAAGTGCCATTGCTTTAGTACAAAATTTGCCTGAATACTTTACGATATTGTAACATTATACCCCATTATGTTTCAGCCTTATTTGTGATTCAAGCATTATGTCTTCTCGCCTCATTTTTGCTGTTGTTTGCATCTTGTTCGCTCATTTATGGTGCTCACATGGTTAGTTCTTCATACATTACGTATAATTTAGGCGTAAAACTTTGTACATAATCTGCCTATGAAATTTTAATCCATTATTTTTGATTCATGAAGTAAATGATTCACTTTTTTTGCGTTGATATTTTTCTTGTTTCTGTTCAATTATATTTAAATGAACTGAGTAATGAATATAGAAATGATTGAGGTCGATTAACTATGCTAGAACATTCAGTGAACACATATTTTGAAGCTAAAATCACTAATATTTACGTATTCAAACTATCAGTTCAGGGGTCACGATGTTTGATATGGCCTTGGATTCCGTGTATGACAGCTAGTATACTATGCACTACAGCTTACTGTATCACGTGGTGGAGTGGAGATGTTCGAGATTACTGGTTGCTACTTACAATACTCCAAATAACTACTGTATTCATAAATGTTCGCTTGTTTTCTTCCCGTTATTGTTCTAGCTTTTTGGAAAAATTTTTTTTCCGTGCCTTGAAGCAAACTTTTGTATCAAAATATCAAAATTAAATGGGACATTATTTCTTATGTTTGAAGACTAAAGTAGATATTTTAGCAAATTAAATTTGGACTGTTGTTTAATTTTACATTAACTGTTACAAAAGTAAATCTTAATACTTAAAAAAGCTCATATTTCCAAATTTGGTCCGTTTGGTTTTAAAAAATAGTCTAAAAATTTGCAGTCGTACTGCTTAATTGTGGTACTGCTGTACTACCGTAGAATTAACAGCGAACTTAATTGTAATGGTGGAGGTTTCAAACACCGAACGATACAGTACAAGCCAAAAGCATACAAGGAACTGAGAAAAAAAAATTACTGCTTGAATAATAATTTGCCTGGTTAGTAATTTGTGAAGATTATTTTGGCTCGAAAAGTTGAAAAATGAAGTCGTTCACAAAATTCTCTCTAGCTTTTTCTTTGAATTTTATAAATAAAAATAAGATGCATCAAAAACTTTCGACACAAACTTTAGAAAAATAGAATAAACAAGCAAAAATCAAGTTATTACTGTTTTCTAGATAGGGCTGGTTATGAGTTAAATTTAGATGCAGTTATTTTTGTTGCAGAATTAGAATACCCTTTACAATCGGCTTACCGAGAGAATGGGACGATTCACTGTAATCAGTGCAGTGTCTTAGCAGATCATCAGCTGACTCAGAAAGCTGATTCTGTAGTGTCAAGTCGGAGAATGATTAATCGTGAAGATACAGTGTTGAGTTGGGTGAAAGAACAGCAAGCTCTAAGTGTGCTATTTGCATATTTTACTCAGTGCAAATAAAGACGTAAAGTAATAATGTTACTGCTGTACTGAAGAAATGCTCAATTAATTGCAGAAAAATTACCCAGTCACGCAAACAGCGAACCAGCCGAATCAAAAACATCTCAACACGCTTTTGCCTTGAAAGTGCGCAGTGAACTGCTTTTGTTAGGAAAAATAGTTTTAATGCATTTTTTATAATTGTAATAATCGCTAGATCAACTTTAATAGTATAGACAGTAAAAGCTGTTATTACACTCGCCACACTTTCACTTTTTTCGAGTATGCAAACTTTTTTATAGCATTCATATTCTGTGCCATCAGTACATGCCGATGCCCCGGGTGCAGTTAGCTGTCAACATTATTTCTGCAACCGTCGTCATCATCGTCGTTATCATCGTCATTACCTTCAGCATCCTAAACATCGGTAGTCAAGCAGATTTTCACAACTCATCGTTTGCTTTAATAAACATTAATTTTTTTGTAGAGGTGCTGTGAATACAAAAGATGAAGAATGCTTTAAAAAGTAATATGAAGTAATTGAATCAGTTATTCTGAAGAATTTCATGATATAAACAGCTGTTTAAGGCGCACGAATCGATCTCATAGTTATGGAGACATTGATCGACAACGAACTTCATCAAAATGTCATCGTTTTTCATCTACAAGTTCGAGCTCCGCATCAGTTGGTACTGACTATTCTAGTAGTTTTTTCTTAAATGAACAATTTAATTAGCTCTTTAGAACTCGAAAAATTCAGTCTTTTTCAGGGAAAAAATTTTAGTACTTATTACTCAGAAAACAAAAATCGCAGAATATAAAGCCTCAAAACGTTTCCACTATTTATTGTTTTTCTGGTAATATTGATTTTGTTTATTGAAATAACTTAAAGTTCACTTAAAATGAAATTTTTGTTATCGATTGGGGTAAAACAAAGTATTCAACAACTCTTTGGAATTACTCAGTAGAGTCTTCCAAGCTTTAATGATAATATTGTACACTTACAAAAGCAATTGAATCTTAAATTACGACCGGAATTTGTTTAGTTACGTAATGAATAATTGTGCTGAGACTCAGTGCTTTACTAAATAAACTCATGAAAAATTATCAGTGGCGATTCGGAAAAGGAAAAAGTGAACAAAGATTTAGCATCATTTCTTCACTAAATTACTTTGCGAATGAAAATATTTCTTACCTTCAACTTTAATCTTTATCTGAGAGAACTTAAATATGGATATGTTTGCAGAATATAAAGGTAGAAACATTACAGATTACCCGCATCATTCCAAATATCAGTCTCGAAATCCACATCACTGTAGCCAAAATGGTAGCACAGCAAGAGCGCATGAGCTGAAAAGCTATAGTGGAGATCGGAGATCACATAGAAGTCGATGTGGAGCTACGCTGAAGCAAGGAAAAAGTCATGAACGCAGATCACGGAGAGTAAAGCACAATAAAAGTGATAGCGAAGAGTTCGTAGCAACTTTTTTGCAATCTTAGTGTGTTTTAAAGCAATCTACAGCTTGCACTGGTTAATTTGTTAGTCCGGAAATAGACTTATATTTTGCTCGAATAACAAAAGATGAAAAGGACCTTACTGAATATTTTCAAAACTATGAACTTTTTCACTAACTTTTCAGGCTATGTTAGAATATCCCAATCGCTTTTCTTGTTCAAAACAAACTTCTCAGATATCTAGCAGAAAGCACTAAGATTAGATTGGTTAAATACAAATTTGAAATTTTATCTTTAGAATCTTAAAAAATATGTCAAAAAGATCTTCAAAGACATTTTAGGAATGTTGCTGTCCAAACGGATACTGAAGCAACACACTGGCTATTGAATTCACAACGAGGATTCGCATTCCCGCAACAAATTATCATTCCACCCTCACGTGGAAACTTCGGAGTAAACGGTCGTCCTCAACCACAAACTTATCAGATCAATTCAGAAATTAGAATTTCACACAGTGAACGTGACGAAGCACGTAACTTTGCTGCTTTAGACGGAAAAAAGCCTAGAATGGAAGAGATTCCTTCTGTACATACGCAACCTCAGGTAATGCTTTTAACATACTGTGCGCGATTCCAAAACAAATTAAAACGTCAAATAAAGGTCATCATCTGCCACGTATTTTAGTAATGAATTATTTCTAAAAATTGAAAGAAATACAGCACGGAACAATTATGTAAAATAAATTAATAGCTTGATTAGTTTAATAGAAAAAGCCCGATGAAGAATGCATAAGGAATATTTACTTTCTACATTTTTGTATAAACTTTTTGCTGATACTGCATCGCAGTCGAATGATTATTCTGAAGCGTAAGAACTCAGTTATTTTGATGCAGTATCCTTGTTATATCAGTTAATTGGTAGAAAAATATGATTTGTTTAGCTTGCCTGTTTAGATATTGTAGATGTTAGGAAAAGGGATTTTTTGAATATCACAGTGTTCTGTAGTAGTTTTCAGATTTATTTCAGCCTCTACCAATGACTTCTGTTGTGTGACGCTTTCCTCTCCAAGCATTATTGTTTTCACTCACGCATTATTTGCATTGAAGCAACTTTGCTGTATCCCATTATTTTTAATTAGTAAGTTATTTCTAAAATTTAAACTTTGTACTAAAAAAACTGACATTCGAAGCAAAATTTTTGTAAAATTTTTCATTTTCTGAAAAGTTTAACAGTACTAACAATGCTGCTCGCAAAGATTAAATTTATCTTTTGTAGGTTCTCTAACGTTAGAAAGCGTAAACTTCTGTTAAAGGTCGTCAAAACGATCAATTTGTTGTGTTTTCATCAACAACAATCAAGCAGTACAATCTTGTGATCTGTGCATTTTCCAAATTGATATTTTCGCTTCATCATTGTAAATTTGTTAGCTAACAGTCAGTAATGAGAATAAAACAAAATGTGGAATACAGAACTCAACAAGATTGATTACAAAACCTCAAATAAAAAAATCAAAAGATCAACAAATGCCCTGATGTTGTTTATGTCATATTTTGCATCAAAATTAATTAAAATTAACCTTATGAATTCCAGCAAGCGGCTTATGCTTGATCCTCGAAAAAAGATGTAGCAAGCAAGCAAATATAAAAGTGTATGTGGAATTTGTGACAATAATAATAGTCAACAAATTTAATCTTAATATTGGGAGACCGTAAATTTGATAGTTCAATGGTATTTTATAAAAAATAATATTTAAATTTATGCCTTTTTAGATAACGGTAATATTTTCATCGAAAGACATAACGAGAATCACAACTTGGTTTACGTGGAATGAGCGATAGAACAACAATGGGATTCCAAATTTCATTCTGGTCCTGTCATCCATTACCTTGTCTCGTAATGATCACATAAATAATTACTAAGTAATTTTGTTGCTGTGATTTGTTTAAAGATCAGCTGTACTATTTCTTCAGTTGCTCATGAATGAAGAGAATATTAGTAAATATTATATCTGTTTGCTACAGTATGCGTGATTTCGTAAAGTAAAGTATCACTTCAGTAAAACATAACGACACCAGAAAAGAAAACTTCATTACGAATGGGAACAGTAGTAAATTTATTGAAGTGTTTTATTCGCTTGCAAATCACTATTTGATCTCAACTGTTCTTCCTCCGTTTGATTCATACAATATTTTCAGAAGTATGTTGGATTCATCATGGCTCTGGTTTACGCTTGTTCAACTCATGTTAATTCTTACAAATGGCAAGTTCGACAACCGACTAGTCGATAAACATCAAGAAGATCATACCAAGACCGCGAGTTCAAATATAAGAATACCTGAAGATATCAAAAAATCTGATGCCCATGAGGATGTGTTCGGAGCTAAAATGTGTAGGAATATCTCATTTTTTCATATCGAAATATTTAAAGACTTGATAAAGACAATATTTTCATTAAGCTGACCTTAAGAGTAACTTTTAATATCGATTGATTTTTGAACCACTTAACTATTGCGTAGTCCAGTTCGAGATGCAGTTCCTACCTGTAAAATTCATTGAAAATATTCATAGATTGAAATGGGAAATTAGTCTTCATAATATAGAAAGTATTCATGTTAAATGGAATGGTTTAGTAGGTGCATGAGTATTTAATTTCAACACGATGTTAAAAACTAGTTTAATGAAATTTCTTTTAGATCGGTCGCTTTTCTCAGTAAAGCATCGCGAACAATTAAATGCAGTAAAGAGTTTATTGGCTATGAAGTCAAAGCGGGAGAAGTTTCTTTTAGAATTAGTTCATAGCATTATAAAGGTGAATTTCAGCATCCTTTTTTGCTAGTAAACTCTGAAATCTGGTATTAAATTGACTTGTTTTAGTTTGGTTGCATTTGTAATCAAGCTAGAAATCAAAATGTAATTGTGTTAATTTTATGTAAAATTTGTGGCTGCATTTGAATGCTAAACAAATTGAAATTCCAAAATAAATCAATGTTTTGTAAGTTGGCTACGATACAGAAAATGAAGCATAATACTGTAAACTCCAAGATAGAAATATGTTTGTAGCTGAAAAAGGTATGTGCCAACATTGTAGGAAACGTGTGAAGACGGTAGACCATCCAGCAACGCAGTGCGAAAGAATGTTTCATGATGACTATACTAGAGGACACAATGAGGTTCTACGATACATCCATTTGGGAATCTGCAAGAAGTATGGTCTCTAAGCATTCCCGCGCATGAGAAGCCATTCTGTTCAGGAAATTGTCGTGAATGAGCACTTGGTAATCAGAATCGTTACATGCGTTGGAAAGCTATAAAGATAAGTGCAGATAAGCCACATATCATAATCCACGATAAGAAGCTACGTGAAGTGATCTTGGTAGAGGCTGGCATCACTAGTGAAGACCGAGAAAAAACGAAATTATGATTTATCAGCTAATGAATTCGGTGCAGAAATGAAATGCAGGACCAAATTAATCCTGTATGTGATGACTTGAGATGGGATTGGGACAAGCTTGCATAAACGCGGAGATCAGTATATCTGATCGCACATATATCCGATCAGTGCTCAAGAAGGCGCTTGAAAGCATCTAATTCGACCAGCGTCATAAATTCCGTGGGGGGAAGCAAAAGCGACACAACAAGTCTGGGTTCTAGACCATCTCCTTCGACAGTCGATATAGATTCCACGAGGACGGAGCAAGAAAGATGAATACAGCGAATGAGAGCGCGGGACAAGTTCAGCCAGAATGTCGGGGTGCGATTCAGCACCAGAACTAATAAAGCGAAAATCAAAACTAACCTCCACGTTACATATTTATATATATTACTCATTGCAAAAAATAAGAAATGTAGCGAGCAGTTTCATGTAGAGAATAAATCATGTTTAGGTTTAGTCGGTGATTGCAGGTTATTGTTAATGGAAAAAGAATAATCGAGAAAGCGGAGTTTAGTCCAAACGATACCTTTCCTACTGAAGGCAAAAAGGATTTAAGAGATGCTATAGGAAATGTTGTCGAAAATACGGTTTTCTACTCTACTTTATTATTACATTTCCCAACTGTGTTACTCAGCACGTAAGAGTTAATTCTTTTGTTTTGCTTTCGTGTTTATGTTTTCTTTTCTTCTCACATTTACAAAATATCGTAATGTTTTTAGATCAAATTATGATTATCTTGCATAGATTTTTCGTGTGGACTTATAATCAGAATTTAAGCAAGTGAAAGTCTTCAGTTTTATTAAGTCAGAGTTATTTTTTCCCGAAGATAATAATAATAGCAATGCATTCTAAATTCGCGTAGTTCCTTTCACTGTATTTTTTCAGAACAAATAGCAAGGTTCTTATTACAGAATAGAATTCGAAGCATCGCTTTCAGCTTTATTTTGCAGTTCTGATTTCATTGGCATTTTATGGATTTAAATGTTTAAGGTTTAAAAAAGATACTGATTGGCAATTGGTGTTTGCATGGGCTTATAAATTTACTTTGGCAGTTCGATTGCATGACGATGCTGCAGATAAATTGCTTGACTTAGCTGGTCAACAGCTAGATATCATTCCAAAGTTTGTTCATTTTATTCAGTTCTTTTTTCATTTATTGTGGTGTAAGTCAACTCTCTTAACCTTTTCTTAGTTTTTTTTCTAAAAAATATCATGTTTGTAGCAAGTATATATGAAATGTAAGAGCCAGACTTTGTATTGAGTTAAAGTATTCTGTGTCATATGAAGAGTCATAGATTTAAGGAAATTGAGATATTTAGTAACTTGAATTTTTTGGGAAAATAAGTAGTTTCTTCTTATGACATTTGAACGAACAGAGCTGAAGACTTAGGCATGTTGTTTAACTTCGCCGCGATTTTTTTTTTTAGAAGGAATGACTTTTATAATCCATACGACAAGAAAGCCATCAAGGATCAAATGGAACGAAAAGCATTACAGAAAATGGAGGAGGCTTTGCATAAAAAGCGAGAACAAAAAAAAGTGGAACGTAAAAAAATTAAGATTAAAAAACCATCGCTCTCTAGAATTGAGTTATAATTTGTGTTGTACTGCATTAATTTCTCACCATGCTTTCCATTTTTTTGTTCTGTTTTGAAGATTGGAAGGTTTCTTCCATGTTTATATTTAACTACAGATTTGAGTTCTTGCAGAAAAATATCAATTAAATAGCACTTACGATGTAAAAGTAAAACAGTTTGAGTTGAAAAAATCGATCATTATATTTACTGCATTCAACTTTCAGAATTTAAATCTCTTAGAATAGATGAACGGATGGAATCTAAAGAAGCTAAGTTAAAGGTATGGTATTAAGAGTGTTCCAATTTATTTAGTAATAAGTATCTGTTTGTTTAATACTTTATTAAAAACGACTTTGGTGTATAAAGCATCTATAGCTTTTAATGAGTTATGTATTTCGCTTGTATGATGGTTTAAGTTCGTTCTTTACATCTTTTGGAGCATTAAGTCCAGCTTGAGCTTCGAATTATTACAATTATACTATTCAATCAAAAGGTAATAGTAGTGTTTCACTTGATGTTTTATTGTGCTAAACATTCTTTATAAAAAGGTCACTTCATGTATTTGAGTAACATTTGACGTTTGACAGAACCGAAACTAAAGTTTACATTTTCATATATCGCAGCTTATTTTATATAATTCTGTGTATCATATTTTGCACTATATTTTTTGAAGTTCTGCATCTTTATTTGTGCCTAACTGATGCAGCTACGTTTGTTTGAAGTTCCTGTTTTTAGATAATTAATAGAATTGTATACGTAAAACTTTGACAGAGTATAGAAATCAGTATGATAAAACTTTTATGGACACTTTAAATTGTATCTTTATGTCAGCCTCTTGATAATTTTTCATTCCTTACATTACGTAAGTATAACCTTACAAAGTCGTCTTATAATGTATATGGTTTCTACATCTTGAAATCTATTCGATTACATGTACTTTCACACTTTTTTAATTTGTATTTTTGTTACCATTCCAAATTTTTTGTTCCATTAAGACAAATTCCTACTCGATTTGGTGGTTCGAAAGTATGAAGTATCATTGCAAATCACAAGGATATTGCTTTCCTTCATTCAATTTACCAAATGTTTTAAACGGATTATCACTTGTAAATCTTTTCAATATTAATGGCGAAGTTCCCTGATGTTGCTAATTGTTCATTAGAATTTTGAAGCAAACTTAATTGATGTTATATTGCTCTAAATGAGATCTTTTTTTTAAATCGTTCAGTATAAAGATAAAAAATTTATTGTTAAGCCAAATTTTTTAATACCAAAAAAATTGAATTGTTAGCATTGGTCAAATTTTTAAATCAAAAGCATCATTAATACTGGGATGTATTCCTATTTCTCTTTTATTGCTTACATATCACTGCTATGTTCAGAGTATTGAAAATTAATTAGTAACTGAAAAAGGATAGCTGAAGTGAAAGAAGATAACGATTATTGCTGGTAAGGAGACGCAGAGTGCGGGAACAAACGATGCTTTTCAAGAAGAAAAGGAAAATTTGTTTGTTTATCCTGTTTTATGTTTAATGATTCAAAATGCGAAGTACTAATATAGGGGGATCTGCGAATTTATAGCAATATATTGGAAGTATATATAACTTAAGCCATTATTAATTATGAAGTGTACTACTTGTTCCTTTAATCCAATTAGTTTTTAAGTAGGAAAAAATTTGCCAAGTTATTGCACCTCTAAATATGAGTACCTAAAATTGGAAAATAAGCTTGATTTAATAGGATGAATAATACATTTATCATTTTAGATGAATGGAGCAGAAAGGAGGAAAGTCGATCAAATGGAGGCAATGCGTCTGAAATCAAAAAAATGACTACTGTAATTTTTTCAATTTATGTACAACAAATTTTATTGAACGTAATTACTTCTCTATGACTTCATCCTTTATGGAATGTGTAATATACAGCTTCGGCATACATCTAGGTAACTGATGTAAGCGTTTTTTTGTCGAAAAATCACAGTTTTAACTCCAAAACAAGCAGTTTTTGGAGTTATGACATATGGATTCGAGCATTTCGTTTTTTGCACCAAAAATCAAGATATTGTTTTTAAATTACAGATTTCAGTAAGTAAACTAATTTTTCTGTTCTATATGAAAAATGGCAAGCTTGAACCAGTCATGGTTTCCAAAGTAGACGTATGATTTTTCAACCATTGCGTGATCTTTACTTATTTTGCTGCAATTGACTACAGCCAGAATTTCTAACATTTTCATATTCCAGTAGGAATTATCTTTAGTAGAACGATGTTATGATCAAATCGCTAAGCATTTTTCAATACCTAGCATCAGTGCTACTTATGGCACTGTATCTTCGATTATTGAAGAATAACGTGAAAAATAAAATTAACAAAAGAATAGTTCGCTAAATTTTGTAATTTCATTCTTTTCTTCTTAATGCAGGTATTGTATAGTGATTCGAATCTGTTAACACCGTAACGAGTGGATGATAATGTACTAAAACATTTGGAAGATTTGATAGACTTTTCTCTCAAGATAGACCACTGGTGTAAAATCCAAATTTAACACAAATATTTTTGATTTATCGCCATAATTTGTCTCGTTACAGAGGTAAAGAAAAGCTAAACACCGCTATATTGAAACCATATGGATTATTTTACTTTTGTTCATAACATGAAAAGTATCAACATGTGATACTGTTCGAAATGTTTTGTTTTGCTGACTTTTGTTTTCAAATATAACTGCAGGAGTATATCTGGATTATTTCAATATGATTTCATATTCAAATATGAAGATTGATGGAGTTGTTAGCATATAAGTATGAATGTGAAGGTGGGTGCTAGTTAATTTTTTGACTGTAAAAATTAGCCGAAGTGTAATCGGTCTTTATATCCCTGCCCTGTTTTTTCTATAAAGATGGAGCAGATTTTCATGGCACTGTATACTGTGTCTGGTATAGTGCATAACAGTATAGCATTGAAATCGATCCTCGATCTGTTTTATTGAGCATAGTCAAATATATTTTTCTAATGTAGTCGATTTTATTATACAATCTTAATTAAGATCTTGATCTGGTATATATTAGTGTTGTCGCTCTTGGAAAACTAAGTTGGATTTCTGATAGATTGGGCAAGTCACTTGTCATGTAAATAGTTCTTTTTCTCTTACGTACATTTCAAATTAATTTTTCGCTATGTCCATATTAAATTAATATTCATTAGATTAATTTTAAAGTTATTGCGAGCTTTTATTTTCTGTGCTCGAGCACTGCTATCACATAAGAGAATACAATGCATTTATCTCAACAATTTGTTCGGAAGTGTTTGTGAAGTTGTTTTATCTTGTTTCCGTAATCTCATCTGCTCGTAGTTTTACTCCTTAGTGGTCAGAAAATATTGTGATTGTTAAAAGTGTTCTATATTTCAGCATGTCTGTGTCATCAATAGCTAAACTAACAAAATATTTTAATTGCTACAATGCTATTCCTTCTGCTACATTGTGTTGTAAACGATTAACGGCACCGAATTTTGATGCATTAGCTCAGCAATTTCAACAAGAGCTAAATGGAAGACAAAGTTCTGATGGTGGCTGCGAACACGATGTTATGATATCTAGCGATAAAATTATAGAAAGACGAGAGTGGATGAAGTTGGTTTAATAAATTCATGATATTCTTATTTATTTATTAAATATAAGAAAGTGGAGTATCGTTACATATTGTTGACTACTTTTATTTTAATACGATGTCGACTTTTTATTTCGAATTATGTCATGCAGTCAATGAAAGTTAAGACTATTATTCATTTTCATTGTATTACACTATGCCACAACATGTGGAAATATTTCGTCTATAACTTTCTAGTGCAGATATTACTATTTTATAACTGTTGTATAGCGCTCCAGTTGTTTATTGCGACGGATCGTTTGAATGGACATTAAAAAAAGGTGGAATTGGAATATTTTGGAGTCCAAAAGATGAACGTAATGTGCATTTGTCGTTGACAGGATCGAAAATTACTAATATTCGTGCTGAAATAAAAGCTGTCAGCTTAGCTGCTTTGCAAGTTACTGTTTTTCCTTGTCACATACTTATTCTTATCTTTTATCATATTTACATACTTTTTGTACTAATGTCTTATTTAATTTTAGTGCATCATTATATTGTGATACAGACGTGTCGTTGTTTAGTATCTTTTTGTTTCAGCGAAATCAAGACTATTTATTTTCTTAAAACCACTAATGCGTTTTTAGGCATGTTCACTTAAATTTGAACGAGTAATCATCAAAACAGATTCGCAGTTCGTTGTCAAAGTGATAAATTCATGGTTGTCTAGATGGCGGTTGAACGACTGGAAAAAAGCAGATGGAAGACAAATTGAGAATGTGGATGACATACAAAAACTGAGTCGTTACACTGATATGATTAAAGTGTGCAGACAATTTAGTTTCAAGTTTTTTTACTAATCTTTCTTTTTTTAAATCGTTCCAAATGGTATATCACGAACAAAACTAAACTATAAATTAAAGCAATGATTACTGTGTGGATATTATATATGTATATATAATAATTACACGGAGGTTATTCTTCTTTTCTTTATTATTGATTCTGGCGGTGGATTGTATTCTGGCATTCTCGCAGCACTCGCGTCGCACTCAGTTCTGCTGTGATCTTTACTGCTTCGTCCTCGTCTTATTCACGCTGCTGATCGAATGAGATGCTTTCGAGAGTTTTATCGAGCACTATTAATTGTATATATGCCTCGACGTAATCAGACACACTGATTTTCTTCGGGTAAGTTTGTGGAAATTAGTTACAGTTCCATCTCAAGTCATCACATACGGAACTATTTTGGTCCTGCATTTCATCTCTGCCTCGAGTTTATTAGCTAATAAATCGTACTTTCGCTTCTTCTCGGTCTAGACTGCTATCAACCTGTCCTTACTAGTAATGCCAACCTATACCAGGATTTTTTAACGAATGTAGAGTCCCAAAAAGATGGATAGTAAGACCTCATTGTGTGTTCTAGTATAGTCGTGACACAACATTCTGTCGCACTGCCTTGCTAGATAGTCTATCGTTTTCACACGTCTCTACAATGTTGGCACATACCTTTTTCAGTTCCAAACATTTTCTATCCTGAGGTAGCAGCATCGTGCTTCATCTTGCAGAATAAAGTTTCCGCGTCATAACCACATTGATGAATCAGCCATCGGTTCTCCTCATCTAATAAAACTTTGTATGATGAGTTTTCTTTTCTATATTGCAACACAAGAGTGTTTCTGGACTGTTCGACAGTTGGATTTTTTACGAGATTGTACTTTTCATAAATAGATTATAGTTATGATACAGATAAAAATATTGATATGCTTGAAAAAATATATGTATCCACACGGCAGTCAAAATATTTGAGTGATTCTAATGATAAAGCTTAGGAGTTTGCAAGATGTCAATTCGTTCTTTGTTTTGTTGCACATTACTGTTCTGTATTTTCTCATTTATACTGAAACTTATTTCTCACTACACCATTTATAGCTTACACTGATCAATTCTTAAACTTATTCAGATGAGAGTAGAGCATACGTATGGCCATCAGAAATACGATGCAACTAAAGGATGTGAACAAATTTGGGATGACATGTCATGCGATGTAAAGGATCGTTGTGGAAACTTTTATAGTGATCAGTTATCAAAATTAGCTATTGAAGAACCGATGATGACTGATGAACTCTTTGAACAACTATGTGAAAGCAGACTAGCAAAACGAAGCCATTAATTTTGTTTTTTGAAATAATCTTGAAATCCTAATAAAGTTTGGTGACCATGTGCTTTAGCATGAAATCTTGTATATATCTTTTTTCCTTTTAATTCATCTTGCTTAAGATCTGAAAGATAATATTCATCAAGTGTGTGAGAGCTAAACATAAATCATGACCTGAGATGGAATATACAGGTATAGCATAAAAGTATGAATTGAATCCACGAAGTCGCACAATAAATAGCCGCTCAGAATATTACAAATGCTATTCTGGTTCTATTCAGAAATGATATTTGTATTTTCACTGATCTGCTACTTGAATATCTAACATTTTTTCGCTACACGACTTTAATAATGATGACTGGTAATTCGATTTGTGGTGAGGGATGAGTTTTGACGAAGACCTTTCATCTGATACAACACGCAAACATTAACATGCATATATACAAGTGAAGTCAGCGAGATCTATTCATAAAAGTACGATATGAGCTCAACAATAAACCACATACTCATAGTTTGCAGTTCGTCGTTATTCTTAGAGACTATTTCAGCAGATATTGACAAGATTACGAATGATGATGCATCGTCATCTTGGAAGTTCATTTTACTTGTCGCTAAGATCAGGCGAAAGTGATTCCATCAACTGGTCGAGTTTTTGTTCTAAAATGGGTATAATGTCCTTATCTACAACAATGTGCGTCTCATCTAACTCCTTCACTACAAATTTTGATCCTAATGCGCGGGATTCGTCGAGATGTACGAGCAGTTGACGCATTGCAGGGTCACATCGTACCAAGACTCCTTTTTTGACGTTTACCATGTTTAGTTTCCTGCAAAATCTGATCAAAATTTTTTGGGCCCTATCCAAATACTTAGTAATGAAAACATCAGATAATCGAAAGCATCGTTCCAACCTCACAAAAAAATGCAACTAACCTACGACGGTAAAACATCCCCTATTACATCCACACTCCCCACACTTAACAAAATTGCCTTACAAGCTCTTGAAAGGTCTTTCGTTACTAGGTGTTTGGATAGGGTTTTGCACTCCAACGTATTGGGTAGATTAGTTACAATAAAGTATTCTGGTGCTTTATACACTAGTCTGTTTATCATGCAAATCCAAGTCCTGAAATTCAGTCAAACTGTTTGAATTGTTAACTAGGAGCGTAAGGTAGAATTGATTCATATTTGCCTTTATTTGAAATGTTACTTTTTGAAATAACTGGTGTGAGGTGTATATATCTATATTTTTTAAGAACTAAGATACAGAGATGATGAGTGAGATATGAGTTCTAGGACTTCTTCAGATACCATCTGCGACGTTGAACTCAGTTATTTCGCTGCATACTAAGTTATTCTTGTTTACTAATCTATTTCAAGTTTTTACGAAATATATCTTCAGTTCGAAATTTTTCTTAATAACTATAAGAAAGTAATATGTTACATTATGGTATATTCTATTACATTTATTCTCATCAGTTAGATTATTACTATGTTCAGTCTGCCTGTCTTCCTTATCTGTGTATTTGTGAAAAACATTGAAGAATAAATAGTATGATTGCACTTTTGCTTGCGTCACGTTAGGGTTTTTGATATTCAGGCAAAAATGGCTTCCAATGAAGTTGATTTAACATATAACGATAAAGAAGTTTTGGCTTCTTTGGATTCAGGGAATGATGAAGGTAAGAAAAGTTCAAATTAAATGCAAGTTAACTTTCCGATCTCTTTTTGTAATCACTTGATTTAGCAGTAATATTATGCGATTCACACGTTACAAATCACATTCACTGTTGCGTTATTGTTTTCTTTGTTTTTTCTACTTCACTCCTAATAATCATAGGCTTTGTTGCTGTGTCTCTCAGTTACTTCTGTTTTTTTTCGTCATAAATTTTCTGTCTAAAAAATTTCAGCAATGTTTTCAAACTGAGGAGTTTTTTGCTTGTGACAGAAATTCAGTACTTGTTGTTAATATTTATGTTCGTTTATTAAGTTTACTAATTTTGACTGTATCGAAAAAATTAATTTCATTATTGGGCTCATGCAGAAAATAAAAAATGCGCTAGTTAAAAAATCTGATATACAAAAAATATTTCAAGCTTTCTAGACGGAAACATCACCTTTAACCTTGCTAAATTTTGTTTTCTGATAGTTTTGAAGTGCAAACTGATGGAAGTTAACGAATATTGAACTTGTTGAAAAAATTACAGGAAGGCTTGTATCATTTTCTTGTTTTGTAGGCGAGACTGGAATCATGTTAAATTTTGGTGAAAAATTTTCTGATTCCTGCAAACTTTAATTAGAAATGTCCTAACTGTTTGAAATTTGAATATCTTTCAAGTACTCGAACCGTAATCTGCATTAGAATCTGCGCTGTGACATTGCAAATTTGCAGTTTTCTAAATATATTTCTCTGTTAATGTTTATCTGTTTTAATATCAATTTCTGAGATATTGTGATGAAGTGGTCAGCGACAAGTTGTGGTTCTTTCTTTAATATGAGTTTCCGAGTAAAACGTTTCTTTAAATCTCTCAGTTATTTCGGTTCGATATATAATTTTAGTCGCGCTACAGATCTAGTGTACACATAGCAGTTAGATATAGAACTTGCTTAAGGAACTATTTTCTTACATTTAATGATATGAAATATTGTTGAAAAATTTTTCTGGCCACTATTCATTTAGCATTAATCCAAAAAATTACCGTATTGCTTCTTTTTGAATTAGTATGAATTCAAAAACTAAAGGTTGACTTTCAACATATCAGGTTTTTCTGCTAAGAAAAAGTGTATTATTTATGATTCATTCAGAATGTCTCGATTCGGTGAGCAGAAAATGGAAATGTAGTCAGCCTGTAAGAATAAACAATGAGATACCACTGACTTTTTATGATTCAAATCGATCCCGGCTTTCGGTTGCTGTTGCGCAAACGCCGGGTCCGCTGGTTAAAGGTTTGATCGTTTTCGGTTAGTTTCATTTTCACCGAAATTCCTGTCAAACCTGCAAAAAAAAAATCCAGAAACATATTATAATATCAATCAATATCACACTGAAGTTGATCTAAAATAATAAATTATTATTATTATCATCGTAGCGTTTATGGAGGTTCGTTACATCCAAGTCATCACATACGGAATCGATTTCATTCTGCATTTCATCTCTGCCCCGAGTTTATGAGTCAGTAAATCATACTTTTGCTTTTTCTCGGCCTCGGCTACTGTCAGCTTATCCTGGCCAATGATACCAATCTCTATCAATAGTACTTTGTGTTGTTATTATAATAATATATCTGGAATTACCAGGATATCCATGATGATTCCCGATCGATCTGCTATTCGCAGTTTTACTGCATATCGACTCTGATTTCCACGTTCTCATTAGTTATATATAGATTATTGGCATAAAGTCACCACCATTGTTTAGGACATCTTTAGGAATCAGGTGCGTCGTCTCTTTATAAAACCATGCGTCCTGTTCTTCCTCTTCCAAACATATCCGCCTGTTATTTTATATTGATATGGATAAGGAGGTGCACTTCTTAATGAAGAATTCATAAACTCCAATCAGGCCCTGCTGCCTTCCAATAGGGCCCTTTCCTATATTTTTTCTGTTTTCACTTGTTTGGTTTATTTCAAGTTCTAAGCTTCTTGCATTAACAGCAGATATTTCTCCTACACATCTAGATAAGCTTTAGACTAATGTGGCGTATTTTCCCGAATTCAGAATTCGCTTATTTCAGTTCTTGTAGGCTAATTGTGCACATTAACTTCTCGCAATACAAGAGCCATCGGCATCCTCCCGTAACTGTCTAGAAGCGCTTTCAGCACATCGCCTGGATAGCTGCTCTGCGGAATCTCAATTCCTCGAGTGATAACTTTAACCGTAATCATCCTTTCTAGTTCTTGTAAGGTTCTCGTAAGCTGGCAGAGTGCTCTCTTACATCGTTTACAAAGTTGTTCACAACCTCATCTGCTTTCTGCTTCTGTTCTTCTGTTTTCTACTATGATTTCAGATGCGGTTTTACCCCGTTCATCCTCCATTTTTTTTTCTCGGGCTTTTCACATCCTAATTCTACGACCGCACAACATTCCTTTTTTTGTTTTCGAACTCGTTTTGCAACTGGCTTTTCTTCCGCTTTATTCGTGCCATGCATGTCATTCTTTACTTTCTTCTCTTGTTTCGTCTTCGTTGCTTCAGAAGTACTACAAAAAGGGGTTTATAAGCATTGTCATTATGATCTGTTTCTTCTCTTCGATTCTTGAAAATCGTTTGTAAATTGAAAAGTTCTTCAGAAACGGGTTCCCAGCATCTAGGTCACTCATCTGGTTGATTTCTAGAGTCTTCGTCGTAGTGGTACTATTTTCACTGTTCTGACCTTCTTAAGTGGGATTCCATTGCTTTTATTGTTGCAATTGATGGCCCTATTACTCGCCACTTATTTTTATTGTTTGCACCTTATCGTGTCTTCATAACAAAAAAAAGGTTGAATAAGGATTATAAAAGAAGCCAAAAATGGAAAGATCAGAGAAATTATGGGACTGGTTTATGATGCAGTTATGTTTATCCTCGACAACTACAATGTCACCTACATCTCTTTATATTTACATACTTGTATAATATTTTATTCGTTGGATTCATTATTTATTGATGTGTTTTAATGTTTCATATTTGAAATATCTTAACAGTCTTATTTATTCAACAATAGTAAATAATTTTTTTTTTCATTATTTCATTAGTTTTCGTTATAGAAGCAATTGTTTCCTTTCATCTTCTCCAAACTTTTGCTCAAAATGCTTGTTTAAAACACCATCAATCGTTTAGTGACGGAGGCCTTGGATGACGATGGTTTGCCGCATACGCTGGAGCATCTTACTTTTATGGGTAGTGAGAAATACCCATACAAAGGTGTTTTGGATCTGGTCGCTAATCAGTGCTTAGCATCAGGAACTAATGCATTCACTGATCAAGATCATACCGGATATGAGTTAACCACTGTAAGTGCTTATCAGATAACGTTTATCCAATTAGTGAGTAAGAAAATTGCTGCAAGCTGTTCTTAATTAGCATCAAAAAAATTGAAATTACGTTCGTAATTGACTGAAATAAAATTATCTATCATATGGTTCACTTTTTTTCTAGGTTGGTAGCCAGGGATTTTTTAAGATTCTTCCAATGTACTTGGATCATTTATTATCACCTTCATTAACGGTAAGTTATTTGTAGTTTGATCAGTTTTGCTAAGCAGGAAATTAATCAGTCTTTTTTCACTAAATAAGCTTTTTTCATTTCCTATCTCGTAACTATTGTTTACGTTTACGATTTTCCATCAACAATCCGCATGTTTTAGCTGGAAAATTTCTTGACAAGTAAAAAACATTCGTTTTTCAAATTGTACAATAATAATCTCTATCAGGAAATTAATTATGATAATTGAAGTTGCAATCAAATTTCTCTTCTAAATTTTTTAGAACATATTATTTATGTCTTTTGATTCAGTTATCTACGTTTCAATATCAAAGTAAAAGTAATCTTTTAATAGGATGCTCAGTTCGTAACAGAAGTTCATCATATCAATGGCGAAGGCGAAGACGTAGGAGTTGTTTACAGTGAAATGCAAGAATGCGAATCTGAAATGCATAACATTGTTAGCAGGAAACGGAAAGAGCTCTTCTATCCTGAATGTAAGCTGTTTTGCAGATTTTTTTTTGAGTTTTATTTTATTACAAATTATTATTAGTCATTATTTCCTACCTCCGGGAGTAAAATATTGTTATGCAAATTTTCTTAGGTAATCCTTATCGTGTCGAAACAGGCGGACGTTTGGCAGCTTTGCGAACAACTTGCAATATGAACAAAATACGGCGGTATCACCATGATTTTTATCACATTAGTAATATGTTTGTAATTGTTTGCGGTTCCATTGACCACTGTATCTTGCTCGAAATTCTATCAACAGTAGGTAATATATTCATTGGTATCTATATTATTATAAGTAGAAACTACTCTTTCTTGAAATTTTATGCAATTTGTTTGATTTTTACAGAAGAGAGATCTCAACAACGAGTACCACACCTTTTTAATCGACCATTTATGAATGAAATGTTGGTTTATGAAGACAGTATAGAGGAAAAGATTATTTGTCCTAATGAAGATGAAAAGTTTGGCATGGTAGAAATTGCTTGGAAGGGACCAAAAAAAAATGTTAGTTGTACAAAAAATGTATTCTGAAATGCATGATGCATAGAATATATAGATTATCATGAAAGAATGCAATTCTGTTTAATTTATTTAGTCGATAATATTGTTATCAGAAGTTTTCATCTCCAGCTTTGCAATAAAATCTGCAAGCACACAAATACTTAATTCTTCTTCTCTTAGTATACAGGAGTTTTGTAGTATTTGAATTTATAATATATGTTAAAGGAAGTTATGAATTTTCAAATTTTTTTCAAGTCCAAATCTCAGTAAGTCATCGTATTACAACTGACCTTGTCAGTTTGCATTTTCATTGCAATTAGGTTTTTTGAATTTTGAAATTTCATAGCAATATGGATGTATAGTATTTACAGCTGGATGATTTGATACGTCTTGAAGTTCTTGCAAACTATTTGTGTAATACTGCGGCTTCTCCTTTACAACAAGATTTTGTACAACTGGATGAACAACTGGCGAGTTCGGTAAATTTATACATACGAGAACAAGTCATTAGCGAGATCGTGCTTAATTTTACCGGAGTACCAGTCAATAAATTAGAACAAATTAAAGAAAAGTTGGAAGCTTTTTATTGAATATTTTTATTCTTCGTTATTGTTATCACAAGTGTATTAAGTATAAGACATTATTATTCTAGATGGACTTTATGCTATTTTTAGTGCTATTCGTATGTTCCAAAAAAAGTAATAATTATTAAAGTAGAATAATGTATATGATTCATAACTATGCTTAATCAATGAGTTGTTTGCATTAAATTGCTAACAATGCTGGGCCTCACAAAATTACGGGTTAGTTAAATACTTTATATTCGCACTTGTTTAAATACATTGTTAAAACTCTACTGATATTTGAAGATTGTTCAAGAAGACGTTACCTGAAACATTTGAGAAAAACTTTAGCTTGGAGAGAATGAGAATCACAATTAGCAATATGATTGATAAAACTCTCTCAAAGGCATGTTTACCTTATATTAATAGAAATAGTTGAAGTTTATTAGTTTGTCTATGAACCATTGTTCGTGTAATATGATTCTCAAATTTATTTTTTAAAATCTTTCATCAAATTCGGTACGATACGTAGCTTGGCAAACTGCTTCATCTGTTATTTGAGCGAAAAGTATTCTCTCACTATTTGATATTGTTTGTAATTTAGTGATTCTCAGTACTGTTCTATCTTTTTCAGATGGAATCAGCTTCTCATAAATATGTTTTCAAACTATTATGCATGCATAAAATATATGGAACTACCAAAAATTTGAATAAAAGATTGAATGGAATTGATTATTTGAGGGAGTTCGTGATTTTTAATTTGTTTTTAAGCCTGAAAAAAAGTTTAATTTCGAATGAAATATATGAGTTTATCTCTACAGTCTTAATTGTTGGTAGTCAGAATTTTGTCAGATATCAAAATTCGTGAAAAAAAAATGGGGAATTGAAATATTTAATGTTTTTTCAGTTTAATCAATAATGAACGTGAAGAGTGGATCAAATTGTCTCATAATTATCTGAGAAAGGAATGTGTCACTGTATTAGGTTATCCTTCTCGAAAGGAAATGGCCAGAATCACTGACACGGTTTGATTAATTATAGTTATTTACATTATTTGACATGCTTTTTGCATCGCATGTGGTAGATGATTTTTCAGTTAGTGTACTTATTAGTGTACCTCATTAAAGTTCAGGAACTCGCTGCTAATTATTTTAGGAAGAGAAACGAATCCAGAAGCAACGCCGAAAATTGGGAGAGAATGGGCTTCGCCAGTGTGCTCTTGAGTTAGAAAATGCAATACGTGAAACGACGGTCTATTTTTTTCCTCTTTTCCTGCATCAGAAATGTCATGAAATAAATAACACAGTCTGGTGTAGAAAGCAAAACTAAAAAAGCGTTATTGTTACTGAGGAAAGTTCTTTGCCGAAATGGAAAAAGTAATTTCTGGTACTGTGTTCATATCGTCACAAATTATTCTCATACTGAAAATAAGTAGAGGATTTCCTATTATTTTCAACAATAACTAAAACTATGCAATAGTTTAGGAGCAGAAACCGTCGCCTGAATTACTCTCTAAAATGATGATTCGTGATTTAGAAGCTTTCGCCGTATTCAAAGTAGAAACAATTGATGTGCAAACTGCACGAAATTATGAGGGATTATTCAAACTGGGGTTGCCCATTTACATCCATAATATTGAAACACATTTTGTACAAGTATGTTTTTCAAATGAACCAGTTATATTTTTCGACGTGACATTCATCATTTATGAGATTTATTTGAAAGTTTGGTATTTCATGACGAGAAATGATGCCATGTGAGATGAAAAGTTAAATTTTCACCCATCCTCCACCAAACGAAAAAGTTACAGTTAATTAAGCATGTCAAGAATGAATTTGTGTGTAGTATTTTTGTATCGAAGTTGTCTCTAAGAGAATATAATTAGAAGTTGCCAAATTTGAAAGCTCTATAATTTTTTGGCTCTCAAGCTTTAAGAGTTGAGGACACATACACCTTTTTTATATGAATTAAAATTTTTTGCAGAAAAATCTTGATATTCTTTTTCGAATGTTCTAATCTAATTCTAATGGCTAAATTCAGTTTATGGCTGTCTGGGACACGAAAGATATACCATTAGATTTACGAATGTGGATGATGATTTATTTTGAACTGATATTTCAAAGTCCAGCAGTGGTGGAGGGCAAAGTAAATTTTATATCCTTATTTCAAGCCTGATAAAACTGATTGCTTACGTTTACTATTTAAAAACAGAAAGCCGAGTGTTATAGAATGTAGTGTTCAAAAGTATGAAAAGCGTTCAAAGTTTGAGAATTTGTGGTATATTGCATTAACAACTGCCATCATAAAGGACCTGACATCTTTTATGATAGTTCAGCGAAAACGCTGATGAAAGTTTGATCTAAGTTCTTTTTTAAATATGAAAAAACAATTTGGGGTGCGGCATATTTTATTATTTAGTTTTGTTATTGGAATATTTTCTTTTTTATTTCTAATTAAACAAGAAAATATGGAACAGATGCTTACTTTTATAAATTATCCATCTAAATATTGGTTCTGTCATTTTTCTATTCGCACTGTATGATTCGTCTGCAGTTTTCATGACTCATTAAATATTCTTATTTTTAGAAATTATCATATGAAGATGTATCAAAATTATACACACGGGATCTGACTTCTGTATGCGCTTCATTAGGCGTTTTGGGCCGCTTTGAACGGTTTTGTTCAGTTGTGTTGAAAGTAAACTTTATCTTTCAGTGTTTTGCATAACTAAATTTTGAGTTAATAAACGACTACTGAAAAGAAATTAAAACAAAAGAAATTCATTTTCTACTAATGTGTAATTGGATGGTATGTTACAGGCTGTACCCGAACGATATGTGACGATGACATCGTGGTTGACGATTTTTATTAAAGATATCATTTTCGAAGCCAAGCGTGTTAAAGTAACTGCGCAAAGTTTAATTGCTCTGGCTGATGAAGAAAAGCGTGATGGCTACGAAATGCAAGATACATTACTTCAAACGGCATTATATCAAAAAAGTACTGATTTGATTAAAGTTTGTCTAGATGGAACTAATAGATTAGCTTCCTAAACTGGATTTTTAACGACCCATCTGTTAATAAAAAAATATGTGGCCATTTTTGACTTTTTAGATTCATTATCGAAGTATTTAATCTAAGATTTTGCAGATAGTAATAGTTATATTCATGGTTCCATTCAGTTGGAAGAATTTCATAAGACGGTGTTAAACTTGACTGAAAAAAATCCTAGTTTCGTAAGTATTTTTTTTAATTTTTTGACAGACATTCTGATCTTTTGTTTTCTTTGCTTCAAATTTATAGTGAAGATGTGCTATTCGTAATAAAAAATCTAAGAGCACTCCAGATAATTAAAACAGTCGATGTCATCTATACTGCCCATGTTATGAAGTTCAAAAAAGGATTAACGGAACATAAATTTGCATAATAATTGAGCCTAACAATATAATTTTTGGAAAAGGATTCTTTTTGTCAACTTTATTATCTACTTTAGCTGCGTGCAGAGATATAAAATATTTTAGTAGTTTATATTTAGATTATAGATTGAGAATAATATCATTTATGTAAGTTCTTTGTACTCCGTTTTGCTTTCTTCCAGGTTATTCGAAAATTGGAAGAGTTGCGTGAAGCATTAATTAATTCTCCTGTAAACATACACATAATTTGCAGCGTTGATAAAGTTATGCCCTTCCTGCCAACCACTCTTTCTTGGCTCTATAATCATCGTGCTAAAACTTATACAGAGTTTTATGTAAGTTTCTACAGGAAACAAGATTTTGTAATTGCAAATAGCATTGTAATTAACTTTCACACTCATTTGTCCCAAAGCAATTATAAATTTTCCATAGTCCTTTTTAAACAAGGTTTGTGAGTTTTTTTTTAAATGGAAGCAATATTTTTCAATTGTACATACCATTTTATATTTCTACAACAGGCAGACTCTTTTTTTGTTTATGCGTAGACTGAATGCATTAAAAGTTGACTGATGGTGACTCCTTTCAGAATTCACCTGGAGAAAATATAAGAGATGATAGCTTCGGAAAGCAGCGTGTTGTCGCTGTTGGCGCTACTGAGTCATCTTTTTTGAAACAAGTATTTTTACTATCTTGTGACTTCTGTAATAGGAGAAATATTAGGAGATTAGAGAAAGAGAAACTGATATTTACTTAGAGATTTGAAAACATTTCAACTAGATCTCAAGATTATATTTGTGATTCATTATTATCTTGTAGTCATATTAAAATGGTTTTTTTCTTTTTTTTTTTGAGTATGCGTGATAGATATTTTATGTATAATATCACTTACATTACTAAAAGTTTTTATTCATTTTCATAATATTCTTATTTCGCTATCAAATTTTGAGCATATTGACGTTTGTTCTGATGTAAAAAAGAGTTGAAGGGTTTTCTCAAAACTCTAATAATGTCATATCTGAACCAGTTGGAGTATATTTTCAATATTACTGTGACAATTCGAGATCAAGATAATAGCATCTTCTAAATGGGAGGAAGTGTTTTTACATATTGGTGGTTTTTTTGTTTTGTTAGAGAAGTGATATTTTCCAGTGCGTCAGGTTCAGCCATGAAAGAGACAGTCAAGAGGGATTAAATATGATGCTAATGGTTCAGTATTTATCTCAAGTGGAAGGGACCTTATATAAAGCTATTCGTGGAGGTGGTATTGCTTATGGTGTTGGTATTGATGTTGATTTTGACGAAAGCACTCTGAATTTCTGGATATATCGAAGTGCTCAACTCGAGCAAGCTTATGAAACAGCCAAGGGAGTTGTGGTAAGTGCATGTCGCTGTTTTAAAGCGTATTTTGGGATTAACCAATAAAAGGGTAACGATCAGTTATTATTTTCTAGCAGTTTCTATCAGTCTTCGTTGAAAAAATACGCATCTAAATTTAGATGAAGGAAATGGTAAATGTGAATGAAATTGAATTTGAAGCGGCAAAGCGAAGTCTCGTGTCAGAAATCATGCAGTGTGAAGACACAGTTACAAGGGCAGCACATCGCGCTGTTCTGAATCAGTTTGAGAAACTATCTTCTCAGTTTTGGAGGTAAGTGATGTCACGTCGTATATGAGAATAAAGTAAGTTTCATTTGAACACTTCGTAAGAATATAAACGTAATATTTCTATGTATTACCTTGTTAATTTCTAGGGAATTTTGTGAACGTATTTGGAGGGCATCAGTGGAAGATGTTGTGCAGTGCAGTAAAGGCTATATTATAGATTTGTTCAAGGATAAGAAGTGTTGTCGTGCTATATCTGTTCCATATGGGAAAGTTAAGGACATAAGAAAATATTTCCAAGGAATAGAAGTAGTGAGATCATCAGAGTTACATGCAAAGTTTGACTTATGAATTTCGCACTATACTTTATTGCTCGGACGGCTTCGTTTATGGAAGCTTTTAACGTAATAAAAAATGAATAAATGAACCGTTTAAAAGAATATTGATTCCGGATCAACATATTTCTCTTCTAGTTGTTTCCTATCCTTTGTAACCACGTTTCACTTTTTCATTGCCACATCTGAAAAGCAATGAACTACGAGTTTAAGTAATGTAGGTTTCCTTCACGTTACGTCGCGGATTTCCCTACTCTAAATTTTTGGAAAAGTGATATTCTCACCTGAAAATTTGGACCGAGCGTTAAATCTCATCATCATTCTTTCAATGTTGATTATGTGATTCAAACACACTTTTGATATAAACCAATATGTCATTTAATTGCAAGAGCACCGGATCGGTCGGTTATTCCGACGGGAAATTATTTTGAACTATAACAGTTACTATGATATTTGATGTCTCTTTTATTCGAACCGAATAATAAACATTCTTACAATAGTGTTTTGTGCATTACAATTACATAATGAGAAACAATACTATAGTGCTCCAATAAATTAGGTGTTCTTGACAAGAAGTGCTTGATCGATATTGTAGTTTTGAGTCTGGAGTACCCGATGTTGTGTGCAGGTGGCTTGTAGATTGCAACTGTTAGCTTAGTAATTTTTGGATTCGTTGTTTTGACTCGAATATTTTTCTTGCGTTTGTGCCATCTTCTACTTTACTAATCATATTGGGAGGCTGTTATTGTGCGCTGAGTCTATACAAACTACAAGACTTTACAAACTCGTGTTCAATCATGTTATTGTTTATTAGACTAGTTTTATACTGATGCAAGAATCTTACGATAATTTTACAATTTTTAGTTAGTTATGCCTCTGTAGAAGGCACAAGCGATTAATTTAATGATGACTTTAATATTTGAACTGCATTGTACTGCTTCAATCACACTCATATACGGTTGTTTATACAATGAATATGAACATCACATAATTAAAGACTTGATTGTTTCTATTTGATTATGAATGAATAATTAGATGCGATATATATTTTCTTACACATGGAAACCAATTGTGGTGGACTACGTGTTTTTTTTAAATGTATTGACAGTTCAGATATCTCGTAACTTTTTAATTGGAACGACCACTCGTTTGGTCAAATTAATGTAGATTCTAATGATTATTTGGTCTCTACTGATACAAGTATGACACTAGTGACGATTTTACTGCTGTTACAGATCAGGAAATGAAAATATAGAAATAATTCGACATACCATCATATTTATTGTCGATTTATTTTGTATTATATTTGTTTAGGTGACACATCTTTAATTACAGCAAAGTATTGGTATTAATTCATATCAGTAAGAGATTTTTTCTCAAATGAACTGGCTAATTTGTTGTCTCATTAGATTAACTTCTGTTTTATGGTCTCGTGGTGTTGCTTATCACAAATTCACAGCATTGATTGTCATTATAAGTCATTTTGAGAAATTGCACCACTATTTCGTTAAGAGTTTGGCGCCTAAAGTCGAAGTCTTGTCTTGTTCAGTAGTAGGAGAACAAATGTGACTTTATAAGGCCTTTACGTGCTCCTGAATAAATACCTTTATTGACGCAACCTGTCATCATCGAGAATCTTAGCAAATTAAAAATGAAAAGGGAAGAAAAAAGATAATATGTTGACACAATTTTAAGTTCTTAATGATTTTTGATCTTCATTATTCATTTCATTTCAGGTCCCCACTTTACATGTATTGAGAAAAAAAGCAGAATATATTTGCCGCAAATAATAGGAAGAATCTCTGAAACATATATAACTAATCAATTAAAAAAATATACCAGCAAAACGAAGTTCTTTCAAGAGACAGAAATGTATACTAACGGGATGGTGGAAGAGAATGGTGGAACAACTGTTACAACATCAGTGGCACCGACAACAACGGCAGTATCGTTAGATCTGCAACAGAACAGCTATATTTTTACAGTCCTCGATGACAAAGTATGCCATTTGTCAAAAATTAAAAAATGAAGAAGAAGGTTTCAGTTTAACATGCCAAATATTTGTAGTTGTGTGAGCAGAAGTAAGGAAAATTTGTAAGCTAAACTGAAAGTAATGGAAATACCTACTAAGTTAGGATCATAAAAGCTGCTGAATGTAGAACTCAAAGCTTTTTGAAATGTGTGTTTCTATTCCTTCCTATGTTCGTTCTTTAGCACCGTTTTTTTCTGTGGATTTTTGCCAAGATATATGCAGCCATTAGAAATCCCTTATTTTGATGCTGAAACAATTTATTTTGTTCACATATGCATTTCGCGTTTGATCTCGATTTTTTTTAATATCATAGATTCATTATGTATGGAAGTCAATGAAAACAAAAGTTCAACTATATATCTCTCTCTTCTGTTGCAAATATTTTCAGCAAGCGAATCATTGTATTACTTTCAATTTTTTGATGTGCATGATTTAAGTAATTGTTTCTTTTCTGTCATCAGAAACTTTTGCAGTTAGAAAGTTCATCGTCACTAAAAGAAGAAAGAAATGTTACGGGTAATGTTACTAATGCTATCGGGAATGAGATGATTTCAACACGGTCGTCAAGCCCATTACTTGATATTGGGGTGTTACCAAGTGCTGATGGTCCATTATGTCCCTACTGCGGTAAACAATATAGAAAGGTGATTGAAAATGTGCTTAATTTGAGAAATTTTCAAAATATCGTTCGGAATATCCTCATCAACACTCGCATAATCTGTCTATTTTGTCACAAAGAAACAATAACGGGCATTTTTCGAAACATACGAATATAGTGATATACGTTTCCTTTAGTGCTGTTTACGAATTACATCGTTTCAAAGCTTTAATTTGTTTATGGTAATTAAATTATTGAAAAAGTGTTACTTTCAGCCAAGAGTTTTGGATTGTCTTCATTCGATGTGCGAGGACTGCATAATAGCTCAGTTGGATGGACGACGAGAAGGTGGGTCACAGCGTTCTAAAATTGCTCATACGATTGACTTTGAACTAGAAAGCACATGTGAGCTGAGACCAACACCACCTGGGGTAATAAGGTGTCCAACGTGTCATCAGGTTGAGTTTTTCTATTCAAAGTCTATAATTTATTGATATGAATTTGTTACCTGTTTAGTATTACCTGTCAGAAATTTTGAAAATTTCAAAGGCATTTTACTGATATAATTTTGGAAAATTAGATTTCATGAATTGCCTTCTCATTACTAAAGTAGGGTGATTTTGTGTTTTTGATATTTTTTCTTTTGAAAAGAATTAAAAAGTATTTGAAGGAAAGTCATGTGGGGAATGATGTTCGTTTTGTGAATCACTTACTGCTAGATTTCGTTCGTTTGCACGAAGTTGATGGTGCTGGAGTTTCAAAAGGTGTGCGGCCGTGTCGTGCATGTAAGAGCGAGCAGCTTGCAATGGCAGTTTGCAAGCAATGTGCAAGTGATTTATGCAAAAACTGTTATCAAGCGCATCGTGAGATGAAATTATTTGATGGGCACACAGTACGAACTTTGCTTTAGACTTGTGATTGTCATTTAGTTTGATAGGAGATTTCAAGCATGCGGGAGTTGTATAATCTCAAATTTATTTCATTTATAGTGGATACAGGCCATTTCATCGGTTTTAATATAGGTCCAATATTATTAACCTCTTGAAAATTATTGTTAACTAATATAACATCTTTAGATTTTTGAGATGGCTTCTAAGTATTAACAGTCATGGACTTCTATCGGATTTTGTTAGTCTGATCAGTGCATTTCTTCTTTATTTGTTCTAATTTTTAGTATGTTATCTATTTTCAAACATGCTAACTTTGAATCAGTTTGGTTCATGTCTTTAGGTATTAACCTATGCGGAATTAGTACAGAATCCATTGGAACTACCTCGAGAGCCAGTTATGTGTGTATTGCATCCTCAGATGCCCTATTCCCTTCTTTGTGCTACATGTGAATCACTAATTTGTGGGCAGTGTCATGCTGAGCATGCAGATATCAGGCACCATAATTTGGTAAATCTCGATGAAACAGTAGCTAATTTGGTTAGACTGGAACTAAAAGATATAGCAAAAGGAGCTGAAGCTAAGGTCAGATTCTTCACTGTTAAACAGTAATTATTTTCTTGGTTTTGTTGTTGTGCATTTATCGGTTGCATTGGAGTCATGGTTGGACACATGTGCAATAGAAGTTTGGGATTTCATGTAAAATTATTTATCAATTTTACTAATATATATTTTATATATACGCATGATGCAGGCAAAAACAGTGGAAACTGCTTGTAATTCTGTTCCTGCTCGTCAGCGAGTTTTAATTGAGCAACACGAAGTGCTAAAAACGCAAATAGAAGCTGCCTTCAGAGAATATAGTAAAGCTTTGGATGTTGTTAAAGAACAGATGTTGCATAAACTGGACAAATTACGTGACGATCAGGAAACTGATCTAAATAATTTAAACCGCCGAGTTAATATAACTACTGTGAAGATTGCAGATGCTGTCGCGTTAGTATTTTTGATAATTAAGACTCTGGATAAGCATTGTTGTTTGTTTCGTGTTCTGATAAATAGCATTTTGAGCTAATTGATCATTTTCATTACAATTCATGGTGTGAATAATATTTTTTTAAATAATATTAATGAGAGCACAGAGCAATCTCATAACTCTTGCAGTTTTACGCATCGAATAGTTGAAAAGGGATCTGCTGTAGAAGTTTTGGTGAGCCGAAAGAAAATTCGACAACAGTTAACAGCTTTAACACGCAGTGTACCAGACATGAGCAGTACGGTCGAACTTACTTTTTGCAAGACTCCATACAATGAGTTCCACAATCAATTAAGTGGTATCGTTGGTGATATCACTAGTATGTTTTATAATTAACCGGCAGCGGTTATCAAAAGCAATACTACTTTAAACTGATTTTCAGTTGATTGCTGTTAAGATGTTAACATATCATTTGTGTAATGTTTTGCAGATAACGGTTTAAATTATTTAGATCGGTTTCTCATGATTTTGGGCATCAAACATGATAAAAGTTGTTTACTGTGAACGAAATGTTATTAATTTGCAGCTCGTTTAGTACCAGATGTTGAAAAAACAGATTTGATTTCATCTTTGTTCTCTGATTCAAATTATATCAAGCAGTCTAATGCAGTACGAGTTTATCCATTGGCTAACTCACCCACTCAAACGTCTGCATCTGGAAGTTTGTGTACAACACCTGCTCCTGTAGGTTAGTGTTAGTTATTTTAGTGGCAGTTAATACGCTTAGTAAGTTTTTTTTTTTTTTTTTTTTT